CGCCTCTCGCGGTTTCTGGTGAAATTACAATTATAAATTGTAAAAATGCTAAAATGTGTTCCAAGTATAATGAATTTAATTAGAAATATAGTAATATAATATTCCAAAGACGTTGTAAAAAAACTTGGCATTTCAATATTAATATATATTTAAAGAAAATATTGTAACGTTTTAGTGTTAAATGTTAAAATGTTGTAATGTTAAAATATATTTTTACATTGTTAATTTAATTTTCTGTTGTTTTATAATAACGAAGATGCAAATTTAATCGTTGTTTTATTTATTTATTTATTTCATCTCAATTTACAGGTGTTACATTCGAGCACAGCTCGCGAGTCACCTTGTCCAGATTATTTACACATGGCGAGTTGTAATGCTGGAGTGGTCCCCCGAACCTTACAGGCGGGCAGTTGTTGGGTGTTTGGCTGTCAGCTAGCCATTGGGTCCAGGTCGTCGGATTCGGTGGCTGAGGTCACCTTGATTTTGAACAATTTCTTGTATAGTTGGATTTGATGATTTTTTTGAAATTGCGAGAATAGTCTTATCGCAGAGTCTTGATAAATCTCTTCTATATCAGGCTGGTTGAGATCTTCTTTGAGAATTTTGTTTGAAAGATTGAATGGGGCTCCTATAGTGGTTCGTAAGCAAATCCTCATGAAGGCATCTATTCTTTTTTTATCCGTAGGTGTGATATATTTGCCCCAGACTGGTAGTGCGTACGTGATGATGGGTAGAATACAGGTTTGTACAACGTGAATTTATGCTTTGTTGTTAAATTACTTTTAAAATTGAGCAGGCTTGATAGAGATATTTTGGCTAACTTTGCCTTTCTTATGGTGTTTTGGACATGTAGGTTAAATTTTAATTTCGAATCCAAAGTGACACCAAGATACTTAGCATGGTCGGCCCAACTAATAGTGCTTGAGTTTACTGTCAAGTTGGTTTGTGGCTTGAATTTTTTGTTATCTCTTGGGGGAAAAACTATTGCTTGAGTCTTAGTTGGGTTAATGTCTAGCTTCCACTCATCGCACCATTTGATTATGTCATTTAGGTAATTCTGAAGCTGAGTAACCAATAGGTTGACTGATTTAGAGTTAAATAAAATTGCTGTGTCATCTGCGAAGAGCTTAAGTTTACATTTAGAGTGCAGTGGGATGTCATTAATGTAAATATTGAAAAGGTAGGGTCCGAGGATAGAGCCTTGAGGTACTCCAGTCTGGATTGGCTTTGGTTCAGTTATAAAATTTCCTTGCTTGACTGAAAATGTCCTGCCCTGTAGATAATTCTGCATAAAATTGATAATGTCACTTGGAAACTGGTGTTTTGTGAGTTTCTTTATAAGGCCATTATGCCAAACTTTATCAAATGCTTTCGCAAAATCTAGAAAGACAGCACCTACCACTTCCTTGTGGGATCTTCTTATCTGGATGTAGTCCAGAACTGCAATGAGTTGGTGAGTTGTTGAATGCCCCCTTCTAAATCCGAATTGCTGCGGGATGATGAAGTTAGAGTTGTCCAAGTACATCTGAAGTGTACGTAAAATAATTATTTCGTAAATTTTGCCGATGGTGGGGAGGAGGCTGATAGGTCTTAGATCTTCAGGAGATTTAGCGGATTTTTTTGGAATTGGAATTATGATAGCATGCTTCCAGACTTTGGGGTAGTAACACAAGTGCAGTGCGGCGTTGAAAACTCCAGCTAGAAATACAATCCATTTGATGGGAAGATTCTTGGCCATTTGCGGAGTGATATTGTCATGGCCAGGAGCTTTGTGGTTAGCTAAGTATTTAATCACTTCTTTGACTTCATTTGGTGTCGTCATTGTGAGCATTTTTTCTTGTTGGTGATTATAAGTTATATTTGGTTTGTCTTCTTCTTTTTCCTTGGAGAACTGGTTGGAGAAGTGTTCTGCAAGTTCATTTCCGATTTCTTTGTCGGTCAATAAGGTTTTGCCGTTCGTTGCTAAACTTGAGATCCTTTCCGTTTTTTCCTGATGGGTTTTGTTTTTCTCCAGAAGTCCTTTGGGCTTGATTCAATCTTGTGTATGAATTGATTCCAGTCCTCGGTGGAGTCGGATTTGAGGGCTTTGTTAACTTTTCCCTGTAGGTTTAAATAAATGGCTCTGGGCTGGATCCCAGGTTGCTTGCCATCTCTTACGAGCTTTATTCTTTTCTTTTATCAAGGCCTTGGTCGAGGGGTTCTGTTTTGATGAAGAGGATGATATAACTGTGTTTTTTGAGTAGCTGTTGTAGATTTTATCATTTAGTATGGTCACTGCTGAATCAATATTGGCTTCTGTTTTCAAGGGTATTCTAGGAGGCGTAATGGAAATTAAGTCTTGTTGGAAGTGTACCCAGTTAGTGAGTCGGCAAGCCCTAGTCGTGAATTCATCCTTCGGGCAGGTCAGCTCTAGGATTACTGGGGGGTGATCTGAAGATAAGGCATCCAGGGTCTTAATCCTCGAAGTCCAGGGGATGTTTCTAAGAATTGCGATGTCTAGAAAGTCTGGATTTCCCAAAGGACTGTAGTGCGTGGGTGAAGAAGGTGCGACAATGTCCAGGTTTTCTTTTTCGGAAAAATTATGAAGCACGGTACCACTATTATTGGAGGTTCTTGAGCCCCAAAGAGGGTGCTTGGAGTTCCAGTCTCCTGCAGCGATTACTGATTGATTATTCTATAACAAGAGATTCAGATCTTCCTCCTGGAGTGGTAGATCGGGTTTCTTATAGATTGACGATATCTGCAATACTGCCCTTCCATCTGGTTTCATTAGAATTGTGGTGTTTTCCATGTAGATGTTTGAATCAGCACTTTTTTTATATTTAAGATAGTTTTTTAGAATTATTGCCGTTCCACCGCCCCTTCCAACGATTCTATCGTCTCTTGGAAACTTAGGGCATCCGCGGTAATTGGCTGTGTGCGCTTCTTCGCAGTTTGCACACTTTGGGGGAAGTTGTCTTGACTTTCTTGGGCAGTCCTTCGAATGGTGCTCCTCGGCACACTTGACGCATTTTGGTTTCAGGAAGCAGTTAAGTTGACCGTGCCCGAAACCCTGGCAGTTGAAGCATTGAGTCACACGGTTTGTTGTTCGGAAAGATTCTACTGCAATTTTCTGATAGAGAAGTTCAGTTATTCCGTAAATATTATTGTTTTGTTCATTTTTCGGTAATTCTACCAGTACTAAATTCATTGGCCTTTTAGTTGATTGTCTATGAAGTCTCTTCACAGAGGTCTCAGTAAAGCCCATTGTTGCAAGTTCTATTGCTATATCTTCAGTCTTGTAGGCTGTTGTCACGCCCTTTAATACCACTTTGAGCGGTTTTTCTTCTTGGAGTCTATAAGAGTAGCCGCCATTGTTTTTTTGAACATATTCCCTGATTTTTTTTGAAGTCTGAAATATTTTTGGCCTTGATAATGTGCTTATTTCCTGAGATCGTGCATTGGAATTTATCTGTGCACAGGTCTTTCAGCTCTTGGCAGAGCAACTTCCAGTCTGTTACATTTTCTGCTATTACAGGTGGTATTCTTGGCTTTTTTTCATGTGTGACTTTTGTCCAAGGACCATCTTCATCAATGTTTTCTTCGTTAACCTGAGAAGGGGTAGCTGCGGACGTTTCTTGAGGGACTTCAGTTACCTCGTTCATGGAGACATCGTTTTCATTATGCTGTGAGACAACTTCCATTCTCGGTGTCTTATGGCTACGTGGTGTTGAATCTGATGGGGATTCGCGAGTTCGTTTCTTTTTTGAAGGAGTTTCTTCTACTTTGTACTCGATGCCACATCTTTCAAGAATTTTCAAAAGTATGTTGGTGTCGATTATACTGACATTTTCGCCAGCTGGGCCGATCGTTGATTTGATTACAATAGGCTGCATCTTTTTTAGCTAAAAAAAACGCGGCTCTATCGGAATCGATCTAAACACATCCCAGCGCCTCAACAACCATAACCACATTCACTCAATGGATATTTTGTGATGTAGTCGTGATCATCCAGGGCGAGACTTTTATAGGTTACCAACAGTTTATACAGTCATCATGATGTATGTATCATGCCACTTTTCCCACCTAGATGTCCCAGAATGTCATCTCTGGTCAGATGGTGACAGTGAGAAGGCTAGCGCCTTTACCAGCCTTCCATCACTGCACTAATTGTTGTTGTTTATATAAAAAATTACATTGTATGTGATGATGATAACAAAAATGAATTTTTAAATTAATATACAAATTAATTGAAAAAAAAAAAGAAATAATTAATTTTGAATCCCCCCCCCCCCCCACAAACGTGACAATATCTTATTTAAAAATTAATAAATGTTTTTAAAAAAATTATGTTTCAAAAATATATTCAAACGCATATAACAATATTTATATACCTTTATAAATCTATATATAGGTGGATTGGATGTTTTCTAGAATCGTTTTAACAAATGTTCGTTAGGCAAACTTTTACTTGGGTAAAAACCGGGCGAAGCCGGGTACATTCGCTGAATACAGTTATTTACAAATGTTCGTTTGTGGAAAGATACTATTCCTTCAACTTCAAATTACCGAGTGGACCAATTAATATTGATTTTATTCAACTTATCGAGTATTTTTAAAGGGACCTGGAAAAAATTTCAAATTATCGAGAGTATAGACAAGTGTAGATTCAATATAGGGATTGGATGTTTGCTAGAATCGTTTTAAAAAAATTTCGTTAGGCAAACTTTTACTAGGATAAAACCGGCGAAGCCGGGAACATCCTTCCTTTTTATATATATAAAAATGAAATGCGAAATCGATGTTTGTTATCGCATCACGCAAAATCTACTGACTCAATCATTATGGAATTTCGCATGTAGGTAGCTGAAGATTTCGTTTAACATATAGGCTATTCAAAAAACTAAAAAAGTTTATGTGCTTTTTTTAAAAAATAAAAAAACCAAAAAGCGTTAGTTCCAGTCTTTTACCGCTAGGGCGCATCACTGGTCGCGACGATAAATGAATTTGATTTTTTTAAAGCATCGGTGGTTCAGTGGTAGAATGCTCGCCTGCCACGCGGGCGGCCAGGGTTCGATTCCCGGCCGATGCATTTTTTTAAAACAATTTTTAAAACTCATTTATATTATATCTTCTATATAAATGGAAATTTCATAAGTGGTGTTCGCTAAAAACTTTCGTTACAATGCATCAATTTCGACCAAATTTTCAACATTTATGTAAAACGAGATGGAGCAGGTTTTGCTTAACATCAAAATATTTATCCTAACTTTAAAATACATAACTTTGCTGTTATCGATAAAATACAAAAAAATTCAACAGAGATAATTTTATTTATATATAAATACAAAAAAAAAATTCAGCAATTCATTCAACTCAATCTAAAAAAATATTCAAAACAAGCAATTTTAAGATAACACCATATGTAAAACAGTCGGCCAAGAAAATAACAACGATATTACATCTTTCTCACATATTCACACACACTCTTGATTAATAATTGAAACTAATCTTTAGCATTGTTTATTATACTTCATAATATATAATATTCGTTAGGCAAACTTTCACTCAGATAAAACCCGGGCGAAGCCGGGTACACATCCGCTAGTATATATATATATAATAACAATAAATAGTTGTATAGTTTAATAGTTAAGTTTTCTATTGATATTATCTTCATTATTTAGATTATTTAAATTCAAATTATAAAATTTGTAAATTGTTATTATTTAGTATAGATAGAGAGAAAAAAAAATCCTTTACTTCTAAAACATCATCTAGTTAATTATATATTTATAATTAATAACAATAAAATTTAACAACGTAACGTCTTTTGCATCGGCTTTTACACGTCATTTAGACATACTCTAATCCTATATATAGAATAATAGAAGTGAGAATATATATAATATTATATATTTTAGTAGTTAGAGAAAAGAGAGAAAGACAGAACCATGCACATTTAATCAAACTAATAATAAGAAAACAAAAAGTTTTGTAAAGAAGGTAGATAAGATTGTTAGTATATATATATATATTTTTATAATTTTATATTTTATCCTTTTTTTTTTTTTTTAATGATTTTTTAATTTTTTTTTATTTTAAATTATGAATATAAATAGTTGTATTTAGTAATATATCTATACTATTAATTAACTTTTGTTATAAGTTTGGTTATTATGTTTTGAAACCCTAATGGTAGACCAGACATATACAAAAAAAATTTAAATTGGAGTAATTATTGAAAAAAGATATCTGCTGAACCGGGAATTCTCAAATAGAAGTTCAGATAGAGAAGGGATGAAACGCCGCTGAACTTCTATTTGAGAATTCCCGGTTCAGCAGATCTCTTTTTTCAATAATTACTCCAATTTAAATTTTTTTTGTATATGTCTGGTCTACCATTAGGGTTTCGAAACATAATAACCAAACTTATAACAAAAGTTAATTAATAGTATAGATATATTACTAAATACAACTATTTATATTCATAATTTAAAATAAAAAAATTTAAAAAATCATTTAAAAAAAAAAAAAAGGATAAAATATAAAATTATAAAATATATATATATATATACTAACAATCTTATCTACCTTCTTTACAAAACTTTTTGTTTTCTTATTATTAGTTTGATTAAATGTGCATGGTTCTGTCTTTCTCTCTTTTCTCTAACTACTAAAATATATAATATTATATATATTCTCACTTCTATTATTCTATATATAGGATTAGAGTATGTCTAAATGACGTGTAAAAGCCGATGCAAAAGACGTTACGTTGTTAAATTTTATTGTTATTAATTATAAATATATAATTAACTAGATGATGTGTTAGAAGTAAAGGATTTTTTTTTCTCTCTATCTATACTAAATAATAACAATTTACAAATTTTATAATTTGAATTTAAATAATCTAAATAATGAAGATAATTTTAATAGAAAACTTAACTATTAAACTATACAACTATTTATTGTTATAATTAATTTAGATTTAGCTTGCTAATCTAACCAAATCTACTTGATATGATTTATCATTCTTATCAGTTTGCTCCTTGAGTTTTAAATGTAGAATCACTGTTATATTTTTATTATATAGTTTTTACACTATATATATATATATATATATATATATATATATATGTTTGTCGGCTATGCACGCCCTCAATATGTAACTAATCTCGCTGAAATTTGAACAGGACAGAGAGATAAATCTGGAAGAGTTTTTTGTCGCGCTTTAACCAAGAAAAATTATAATTAACCAGGTACTGAGCAACAATATTTTTTTTAGTCAGAAATGATGACAATATTGCTGTATCATGCTTGATTGACATAAACAAAATTCTTTAGGGGAATATTCACTAAAACAGACCACGGGCGAAGCCAGATAATAATTTTCAGTAGGCAGGAACAAAATTCTACCTGCGAAACATTCACACGAGAAGAAGACACACGAAGCCAGGTCATCTCTATATATAAAATATCGTTTCTCGGCCTTTTGGCTAAGATCGTGTAGTTTATCTCTAGATATTTTTATTTATATATATCTTCTTTAAAATATATTCAGTAGAGAGAGTGGATATGTTTGTTCGAAAATATATTTTATATATTATATAAATATATAAAGTAACGAATATTATTATCATTATTATCATAATATTCTGTGTGTGTTCCGGATTATTATTATCAATTATCAATAATGAATATATTATCAATAATATTTGTTAGTCATACTTCCACTCGGATAAAACCCGGGCGAAGCCGGGTACACATCCGCTAGTATAAATATCTTATCTGGCTTATCATTTTCTTATCTCGATTCCTATTCAATCTGTTTATAATGGAAAACTTAACAATTTCATATCTCGATTCCTATTCAATCTGTTTATAATGGAAAACTTAACAATTTCATATCTCGATTCCTATTCAATCTGTTTATAATGGAAAACTTAACAATTTCATATCACGCATTCGTTTTCTCTTATCAGTTTTATCTAGCCATTTCTTATCAATTTGATTATTATTTAAAAATAATAAGATATATAGTTGCTTGTATATTATATATATATGCTGGTATTTATGATTCCAATTGTACTTTTTAGCATGTATATCTGGATTCAGACAATACACTCATGGACAAAACTTAAGGAAGTTGTACCTTTTAGCATGTATATCGGGATTCAGACAATACACTCATGGGCAAAACTTAATTAAGTTGTACATTTTAGCATGTATATCGGGGGTTAGACAATACACTCATGGACAAAACTTAAGGAAGTTGTACCTTTTAGCATGTATATCGGGATTCAGACAATACACACATGGACAAACCTTATGGAAGTTGTACCTTTTAGGATGTATATCGGGATTCAGACAATACACACATGGACAAACCTTATGGAAGTTGTACCTTTTAGCATGTATATCTGGATTCAGACAATATACTCATAGACAAAACTTAAGGAAGTTGTACTTTTAGCATGTTTATCGGGATTCAAACAATACACTCATGGACAAAACTTAAGGAAGTTGTACCTTTTAGCATGTATATCGGGATTCAGACAATACACTCATGGACAAAACTAAAGGAAGTTGTACCTTTTAGCATGTATATCAGGATTCAGACAATACACTAATGGACAAAACCTAACGAGGTTGTACCTTTTAGCATGTATATCGGGATTCAGACAATACACTCATGGACAAAACTTAAGGAAGTTGTAATTTTTAGCATGTATATCGAGATTCAGACAATACACTCATGGACAAAACTTAAGGAAGTTGTACCTTTTAGCATGTTTATCGGGATTCAAACAATACACTCATTGACAAACCTTAAGGAAGTTGTACCTTTTAGCATGTATATCGGGATTCAGACAATACACTCATGGACAAAACCTAAAAAATTGTACGTTTTAACATGTATATTCGGGATTCAGACGATACATTCATGGACAAAACTTAAGGAAGGTTACCTTTTAGCATGTATATCGGGATTCAGACAATACACCCATGGACAAAACTTAACGAGGTTGTACCTTTTAGCATGTATATCGGGATTCAGACAATACACTCATGGACAAAACTTAAGGAAGTTGTAATTTTTAGCATGTATATCGGGATTCAGACAATACACTCATGGACAAAACTTAAGGAAGTTTTACCTTTCAGCATGTATATCGGGATTCAGACAATACACTCATGGACAAAACTTAAGGAAGTTGTACCTTTTAGCATGTATATCGGGATTCAGACAATACACTCATGGACAAAACTTAAGGAAGTTGTAATTTTTAGCATGTATATCGGGATTCAGACAATACACTCATGGACAAAACTTAAGGAAGTTGTACCTTTTAGCATGTATATCGGGATTCAGACAATACACTCATGGACAAAACTAAAGGAAGTTGTACCTTTTAGCATGTATATCAGGATTCAGACAATACACTAATGGACAAAACCTAAAAAATTGTACGTTTTAACATGTTTATTCTGGATTCAGACGATACATTCATGGACAAAACCTAAGGAAGGTTACCTTTTAGCATGTATATCGGGATTCAGACAATACACTCATGGACAAAACTTAACGAGGTTGTACCTTTTAGCATGTATATCGGGATTCAGACAATACACTCATGGACAAAACTTAAGGAAGTTGTAATTTTTAGAATGTATATCGGGATTCAGACAATACACTCATGGACAAAACTTAAGGAAGTTTTACCTTTCAGCATGTATATCGGGTTTCAGACAATACACTCATGGACAAAACTTAAGGAAGTTGTACCTTTTAGCATGTATATCGGGATTCAGACAATATACTCATGGACAAAACTTAAGGAAGTTGTAATTTTTAGCATGTATATATCGGGATTCAGACAATACACTCATGGACAAAACTTAAGGAAGTTGTACCTTTTAGCATGTATATCGGGATTCAGACAATACACTCATGGACAAAACTAAAGGAAAACTTAAGGAAGTTTTACCTTTCAGCATGTATATCGGGATTCAGACAATACACTCATGGACAAAACTTAAGGAAGTTGTACCTTTTAGCATGTATATCAGGATTCAGACAATACACTA